ATTGTTGTTAACAACCATTTGATCAATAAATATGAGAGATGCCCTCTCAAAAAAAAAAAAACTGCTAAGGGTCTTTATTTTGTGTAGAATACACATGAACATTTCCAGTGCCATTGAGAATCAGGCCATTTCTCTAGTCAGTCTATTCATCTGCACATTGACAGTCTGTATAAATTTAATGTAAATAAAAATATAAATCAGGGATATGTTTGCTTATATTTTCATCAACATATTTCAAAGTCACCTATGTTAAGATTAGGCTCTTTAGGTGGAAAAGCAATGTAGCTAATTTTTAAAAACTATCATTGATAGGTGAAAAGAAAGAAATAAGAAAATTAATTTTTAAAACCTTTGCTTGAACTCAAAGTTCATGAACTCTTTTGTTAGGTGATTTTGAATACATAACTTTAAAATTGAAGAAGGTATTTGAAAATTAGTTTCTTATTTTTTAGCTCTTTTGACTGTTCAGTGATATGGCAAAACTCACTTGCCTACCTAACGAGAGTCAGCTTTTTCTTAAACATAGGTATTACTCTCACCATTAACACGTCTCTTTTTTCTTTACGAAAGAGAAAGCAAATGCCATATTCACACAGTTATAAGAGTATCTCGTGTATATGATTTCCGCTTAAATGAGGAGTCAGAAAAGTCCTCTGAGACAGAGCCTTCCTTTATTAAATGCTATAACCTGCTCCTTGCTGACGCCAACTAGAGTATATTCCAAACTGATAATCCAGCAGTTAATTCATAAAATAAAGTAGATGGGGAGAAGGTTTCTATTGTGGCTTTGATGTTCATTATTTTAACAATCTTTTTTTTTCTCACCCCAAATACAACTCATCAGGAAATGCCACCTAAATGGAACTTCCTGTGTGACTTTGCAGCTGTTATTGTTAGGCATTCATTGGGCCCAAGTGCTCTTCTGTGTATTTCTGGAAATTTCTGGAAAGCTGTGTATTTAAGCTTGACAAATGGAGCTCTTGAAGCTGTTACAGTACAGTACCACAATTATTTGTTTCTGCATCTTCAAGTCACCTCTAAATGGCAGGTTCTGGCTGATAGGTTCTAGGAATAGAAGCAAAAGCAGTCCTAGAATTACGATTAGCACACATAATGTGGGGGGCGGGCACGGGGAAGGCAGTAGAGAACAGAGAAGACAAGCAGTGACTCTACAGCATCTTAATATACTGATGGACAGTGACTGCAATGGGGTATGTGGTGGGGACTTGATAACGGGGGGAATCTAGTAACCACAATGTTGCTCATGTAATTGCATATTAATGATTCCAAAAAAAGAAAAAAGCAGTCTTAGAGAATTTCTCTGGTAATTAAGTGGAATATACTGGTGCTCTTGCCAACCTCCCACAGAGGCACCTTCATCTTGTCCTTCCTGTGGCCGCCGGTGCTAATCTCCACCAGTTTAGTGGTAGCGGGCTGGGTGGTGAGGAAAGGAGGAAGAAGATAACCGTGGCCCCGGGGCACGCAGACCCGTGCTCAGGGAGGGAGGTACTCCGACGGAGCCGCAGGAGCCAGAGCAGGGCTGGCTGCAAGCACGAGTGGCCGACCGGGGCTGTCACACAGGGCACCGCTCCCCAAAGGGTCCCTCTTCTCCCCCCACCCCTGCATCCTAATTTCTGAGGTCGTGGTCTTGCAACTCCGATCATCTTTGAATTTGTGTCTTCGTAGTGATGTCCAATGGAGCGATGGAGCATGAGCTCGGGTGCCTCCTGCAGCCTGCCTTCCTCCCCGAGCCGTGGGCAGCCTGGGGCCCACATCCCCCAGTACAGCCGCCTGCTTCTCGGGCGCTGCGCCCGCGAGGGGAGGGCCGGGTCATCCGCCCATAGTTCCCAGCGTGCCCCAGAGTCTGTGCACGCCCTGAGAGAATCCCAGGGCCCCTGTCAGAGTGGCCTTAGTGGGTCAGTAACACTACAGAGCAAGAGAGAAGCTGTGGGAAAAGCGGGAAAGCTGTTCTGCTGTGGTTTTGTTTGTTGGTTCTTGGTCAAGGGTCCTGCATATTCATTTTGCACTGGACCTCGAGACTTAGGTAGCTGGCCCTGAGCCAGGGCCTTGAGACACCACCAAATCCTACTGCTCATCAAAAAGCTCAAAGTAAAACAACCAGAATACTCACTCTGACTTCCAGGAGGCTGCCTTCACTGGTGAATCCGAAGTTTCCCTGGCTAGAGTAAGGGACAATGGGGAACTCATCTAGATGTGAAGCCAAAGGGATAAACTGAGTGAGGACAAGAACCGTGGGTGTGTGGGGTCGGAAGAAGTGGACTTGGTGTTTTAGAGAAGTGAAGCGATGTAGAGCTCAGACTTTCAAGCCAGGTGCTCACCTTTCAAATTCATTTCATTTCAGTTAGTATTACTGTGACTCTAGCCAAATCACTCGATTACTCTGAGCCTCCAACTTCTCATCAAGGAAATTATTTCTCTGCCAGCCTGATATTTTGCTTTTCCCTTATCTTTGACATTATTATAAAACCTGGGTCTTCAACTCAGTTGTATTTTTATCTGGTACATGTATATGTATAGCACTTAGAATAGTGTCTGGCACATGGTAAATTCTCAACCATTGTTAACTTTTATCTTTACTATTTCATTAAATACACATGCATAGAAATAGAAATACCATATCATCTAGTCATTTCACTTATAGAAATTTACCTGAAGAAAACAAAATCCTTGACTTGGAAAGATATGTGCACCCCTATATGTATCTCTGTATTATTTACAATAACTGAGATATGGGAGCAACCAAAGTGTCCATCAGTAGATGAATGGATAAAGAAGATGTGGTAGCTATACACAATGGAATATATTCAGCCATAAAAAAGAAAAGAAATTCTGCTGTTTGCAACGACATGGATGGAGCTAGAGGGTATTATGCTCAGTGAAATAAGCCGGACAGAGAAAGCAACCATATGATTTCACTTATTGTGGAATTATTTGTGGAATTTAAGACAAAACCAAACAAAATAAACAAAACAGCAGTAGATTCAGAGACAATGAGAAGTAACTGGTGGTTATTATGGGGGCGGGGTTGCGATAGGTGGGTGGGAAGGGTGAGGGGTATACAAGGACACAAAAATTCTCAATCATCATAAAAGTTGGTCATGGGGATGCAAGTGTAGGATGGAGAATACAGCCAATGATTCTGTAACATCTTCCTTTGTTGACAGATAGCAACTGCACTAGTTGGGGTGAGGATTTAATAATGCAGGTAACTGCATTGTATACTAGAAATTAATATAAGATTGCATATCAACTATACTTCAATAAAAAAATGCATGGAGGGAATGTTCTCACTGTTCATTTCAGTTGGGATTTTGAGCGACTTTTTTTTTTTTTTTGCTTTGCTATACTTGCCATACTCCAAAAACTTTATAATGAACATGACTTACTCTTATAATCAGAGGGAACAATGAAGGTAATCCCATTTTTAAAGAAAGCACAGACTTCCTCTTCTCTGAAAAATAATGACGTTTCCTGGACATCTCCAAACATATATAAAAACACCCATATCCAGGGACTCCAAAAATCTTCCCCTGACACAAGAGGTAATACATGTATAAAGAAACAGCCAATTTCTCTATTAATCAAAACAACAATCAGAATTTCAATTAATATGTGTCAGCTGCTTTCTGACTTTGTATGACAATTCCAGTGATGCCTTTCTGATCTCAGTTATTTTTTTTTATGGAGGTGAAATATAAGGTGATGCCAATGATGAGGGCACAAGAGAAAATGATGTATTGTTAATGGTTATTCCTTTAACATCTTCTAAGCACCTATATAAAGTAGGAACTATCACTTCCCCCCACTTTACAGATAAGGAAACTGACCCAGAGACATGAATTAGCTTGTCTAACTTACATACTATTAAAAAGTACAGCTGGGATTCAAATCCAGGCCAGGGCTCAGAGCCTGCACTCAGTGGGTTATAGTGATCAAAAATTTAGCAAAAAAGAGAAACACTGGGAAGGAGTATCAAATCGAATGTTTTAAGCACTTTCAGGGCAAGATTTTTATCTTATTTGTCTTGAATCCCCAGACCCATACCTGGTGCATAATAGACACTCACAAATGAACACCTGAATGGCACACAGGCTCAATGCAGAGCAGATATTCTTAAATTCTTAGTAATTGGGGCCATGGTTGGACACTCAGATTTGTTATTCAAACAAACAAAAAAGCATAGACTCTCCTAAAAGGAAAGGAGGGCACTAACAGAGAATGTGGCATAGGAAGGATCAATTTCTTCCAGTCATACTCTTCCCTTTAAGGCTGCTTGAACTATTTATTAGTGGTTCCTGGGTCTCTAATTAGAGTTCTGAGCATTTCCTTCTGTTTCCCAAAGGGTTGGAGTAATGCCCTGAGGGCTTGTCACTTTACCCCTTCTAATCAGCCAGATGGCAGCTGCAGGAAGTGGCCTCTAAAGCAATAGTCACACAATAGTGTTGACAGTGGAGGTCTTCAGCTGAATGGGGAACATGTGGAAGCATAGGCTATGGAGTTTCTAAGCCTGGGATATTAGAACTGTCCTTTTCAACTGGGTTTTATGTGTTAGTTGGGAATACTTAATAAAGCACAGATATTTGATTAGGTTAATTTATTAGGCCAAAATAGAAAACTGATTTTTAAAAATCCTTCTTAGATTAAAATTTCATTTTACAAACATGGGTAATTTGTCACTGCTCTTAATAATGTGAACCTTGTAAATGGCTCAAAGTGTGTGTGGTATTTGCCCTTGTGCATTTATTTATTTTTATAGTAGAAATTGCATAAAAAGAAAACACACACACCTTTAGTAGCAAACTATAAATCTTGGAATCCTCAAGGGAAAAGGGACCAGGGAAATGTAACTACCACCAGAGATTTCCTTGCCATTAGCACTGTCACTGGCTTTCCTCAGCAAGGGCGACATACTGTTAAGTGTTCATAGAAAGAAAGCAGAGAATCTAATGAAAATGACAGTAAGCCCTTTAGGAAGCTGACAATACAGTGTACTATAAATGTGGGCCCATTATTAGAATAGGGACAATATCCAGTGCCTTTAATTGCTGAAAGACATACACCTGCCACCTAATTTCTCACTGTCACCTGTGAATTGTATGAATTATACCTAATATCAGACAGCAAGAACATTTATTTGCTCAGTTCTCTGTCATCCATCCATCTATCCATCCAAAAGATTGAGTGTGATCATTTAAAAATGTGCACGTGTGTACCATGGTTTATGGCTAAACGGATTATATTTTCCTATCACATAGCATTATAATTGAGAACTTGTTTCTGTTCAAAATATCATAACAAATTATAAACAGGACTCAAAATATTTAGTGAAAACACCAATATAAATAAAACCCCATAAATCTCTAGATAGAGTCTATAATACAGCAGAAGTATATTCCATGACATAGAATCTTAGAGATGGCAAAGACTTTGATACTCTTTTCTGTATTTCACAAGTGAGAAACCAAGCTATGAGAGGAAAGGGCTTGCCTGGCATCCCCCACTTCACTCAGAAAAGCTAAAGCTGCAACCTGTTTCCTGGATTCCCAGATCCATGTTCCCTTTCTGACACTATATCCTCTCCCTTAGAAAAATCCCAAGATTTATTTAAGGTTGCTTAAATAAGAAACCACAATGTATTGCAAAATGTGCATACAGCATGAAATGATACAACTGTATTTCATGTGTCTGAATTAAATATTTAGCCAAAATAAATATGATCAAAATAATTAATTTAAAAATTGTTTGCTTTGTTAAGATCTACTGAAATATGGGCGGAACACTGCAGAAGCCCATTGCTCTTAATCAAACTGCTTGGCAACATCTGAGCCCGTAACGCAAGGGACCCCACTGTTTGCCAGGGATGGGGAGGGGTGAAGGCAGGGAGGCTTTAGGAAGCCTCGGTTTTGTTGGCAAATCATCTTATTTCCTGTCTTGTCTCTGAAATGTCTCTCCCATCTTACTCTTCTTTTTTGTTTTCTTTGCCACCATCCTTATAAGCCTGAATTATCTCTGGTCTGGACAATACTTTTTTCTTAATTATTTACTCAGGATCAACTGAATTTCCAGTATTTCCTATTCCACTCTCAACCAGCCTCAATAGCCCTGCGAGTTAGGTAGTAATGCCTCCCCTTTACAAACAAGGAAACTGAGACTCAAGCATTTTAGTGTTCGGCCCAAAGCTAGACACTAGTAAGATACAGATAGAGCTGAATTCTGAACTCAGTTATGCAAGCTGTGCCCGTGCTGCTTCTACTGGGTTTTTGTAATGTATTTTTAAAATTACACACGTGATAAATACATTCTCTTTGCAAAATAAATAAATAAAATATCTGGGTTGATATTCCCATTAATCGCCCTTTTCTTTTCTTATTCTCATTGCACCCAGGCCCGGAAGGTAACCCTAGTCACAGTTTGGCATGGATCTTTCCAGATCTTATTCTAGGTATTATCCAGTTATATGTGCCCTGCTACACTACAGAAACCACTGTAGGGCTCTCAGGCATGGGCCCACTGCTTGGATGACCTCCGAGCACACATGACAGCCCCTTGCATGACCAAGCTCCACTTGGTCACTGGCTGGCTTGCAAATCCTCCTCCTCATAAACTACGGTTTATAATGTACAGGTGGTTCTACCCTCTGCTTCAGACCATGAAGTAATATTCTGTACATTCCATTTGGCTTATATTTCTATAAGGCTTTACATGATTTCTCATTGTCTATTAACCAGAACACTTGGGTTCTTTCCTTTACAGTAACAACAGTTCTGTTTGCAGTGGCTTAGGAGAGGTACAGTAAGTAACAGTTTGCACTGTAAAATACACTTAATAGAGCCCTTTTCCATTGCTGATTAATTTATTACCTCCTTTTTTCTACCCTTTTCTTCAGGTAATAGAACTTGTGAGCTAGTGATGAGAAAAACAGGTTATTTCAAGGTTGACAAACTTCCCCAAATCAGCCCTAGGAACTCTTATTAGACTAGATACGTCCCGTCAGCCTGGCTTCCTGTACACTGGCTCTCCCGCCCCTCCTGTACTTTGCAGTAGGAGAATGAATGCTGCCAGGCCAGGTAGGATGCAGAGAACAAATGAAGCAAGGCGATTCTTACAAGATGGTGAAGGTGCCATTGTGAGCGTTGGGTTCTGGCACCGGCACTCAGCAGAGCTTCAGCTTTGGGCTGAGACCAATACACGCCAGCGTTTCACATGTGCAGGTACAGAGCTCACATATGTTGGTGTTTGTGCTGGTGAGCACCACAAAAAAGAACTGTCTCAGATGGCTCTGGTTGCTGAGTTACGGGAACTTCCAGGTCCACAGGTGCAACTGTGACTTGAGTCAGGTTTGGATACTGACTGGGAACATCCTCGGGATCTGGAAATGTGCCCTCAGGGAGCCCCGGAGATGGAGCTGTGGCGTTCTTCGGGGCTGTAGGGTGTTCGACCTCTGCAGGGAGTTCTGTGGTCTTGGTAAGCTCCAGGTCCACAGAGCTGGGGAAACTGGGATACTGGGTGGCAGTGGTTGTTGACCTTTATCCTCGCTTGCAGGTGAAACTGTCCCCTCCTGATGGAATGGATATTGAGCAACAACCTCCTCAGCTGGCTCTGGAGGCTGACGTGGGGTCTCCTGCATGGCTGGAGAAGGTTCAGCCTCCGCACCAGATCCTGCAGGTACAGGAAGTTCCACGTCTGCAGGATGAACTGTAACTTCAGTCAGGTTTGGATGCTGACTTGGAGACTGATCTGCATGTGGAAGTGCGCCCTCAGGGTAGTCTGGCTGTAGGACTGTGGAATGGCCGACCTCCTCGGCAGGTTCTGGAGTTACAGCAAGCCCCAGGTCCAAAGGTTGAACTGTGATGTTGAACGATGCTGGATACTGAGCACGATGCTGATCTAGAGTTGGAGGTTCCGGAGTTATGGTGAGCTCCAGGTTAACAGGCTTAACAGTGACATTGGGCAGGTCTGGATGCTGAGCTTGATTCTGTGATAGAGATGGAACTGTCACCTTATCATAGACTGGAGGTTACGCTACAACTTCCTTAAGTGAGTCTGGAAGCCACGCTGGAGACTCCTCCTGGGTTGGAAAAGATTCTGCCCCATTAGAGGGCTCTGGAGGCTGAGGTGGGGCTGCCTGCTAGACTGAAGATGGTTCTACAGGGGCCTCTGAAAGCAGAGACTGGACCTCTCACTGTGTGGGCGGTGTCGCCTCCTTCAGGGGCTCAGGAGATGCAGCTGACTCCTCCTGGGGGACTGGAGATGTTTTGACCTCTCCAGCAGGCTTTGCAGGATAGGCTGAGATCTCCTGCTCAGTTCCAGATGATACAGTTTCCTCAAGGGATTGTAATGGCTTGTCTAGGGCCCGCTGGATCGGAGAAGCTTCACTATTTTCAGGAGGGATGATGTTCTGGAACTCTTACTGGACTGACAAGGGTCTCAGCTGCTCAGGAGATACTGCAGGCTGTTGCTGGGGTAGAGAAGATTCAATCTCACTAGTGAACTCTGGAGTTATGGTAAGTGTCAGATCTACAGATTTAATAGTAGGCAACATCAGGAGGAGAAATTGTCATCATGTGATGCTCTGCAGAGTGAGCCGCAGTATCATGAAAGGGCTCTGGAGACTGAGCTGGGGCCTCCTGTTGGTTGGAGAAGGTTCAACCTCTTCAGGGGTCTGTGAATGCTGATCCAGGGCCTCCTCCTGGGATGGAGATGGTTCACCCTCCTCAGGGGTCTCTGACTGGGGCTGGGGCATACTGTTGTGTTGGTGTCTCATGTGCAGTAGGTTCTGGAGATGGAGCTGGACCTTCTGTTGATCTGACAAAGGTCCAACCTTCTGTGGGAGTTGCAGAAGCAGAGCTGGGGCCTCACGCTGGGTTGTAGGAGGTCCCACCTTACTAAGGGGCACGGAGAGCTGAGCTGTAGACACATGCTGAGTTGGAGAAGGGTACACGTCTGCCATCGACTCTGTTATGGTCATCTGCACATCCGTAGGTTTGACGGTGACACTGGGCAGTCTGAATGCTGAGCAGGACGGTGACCTGGAGGTGAAACTCGAGGTTGAGCTGGGTGTTCCTGCTGTGTTGGAAAAGGTTCTGTCTCCCCAGGAAAAGGCTCTGGAGACTGAGCTGGATTACTCCTGCGGGTTTCAGGTGGTTCTACCTGTCCTGGAAAATAAGCTGAGGTCTCCTGCTGGCGTGAAGATTCTTTCTCACTAAGGGGCCCTGGAGGCTGAGCTGAGGCCTCCTCCTGGGTTGGACTCCTGTGAAATTCACAAGTGCTCATCCAGGCCTGGGGATCTGAACTCTTTCTCCTTAACGCTGAAATCTGAGAGACATTCTTCCTCCCCTTGGCCATACTGCTTCCAAGAAAAGTAGCTCACCTGCAAAATGAGAGCCTGTTAGGGTGGTGGGGAGGGAAGTGCACTTTCGAGTTATTCTAAAAGTTGGCATTTTCTTAAAACTCTCAGTATCCATGTCTGATTATTATTAAGTCGTCACTCTATTACGTCAATGATTGACTCCAATATTTCTAGATGAAGGGCTTTGGGGAGTGGTGAACAATTTATTCTGGGAAAGAGGGTCTGGAATCTCTTTCAGTGAATAGTGAATAGCATAGGAAAAGTTCCCCCATCCTACCTTAGCTCATCACAGCCATGAATCTAGAAGAACTAACACCACTACTTTCCCAAGGTCTACCGTGTGTGCACACATGGAGAAGATACATAGGATGTTAAAGTCAGAACATTCAATGATTTCCTTGAAATACTGTAAACAGCACCCAGTTACTTCCTTCACAGGAGAAGGTATCTGGATGAAGTTTTGGTCAAGTGTGCAATCTGTATTACATTTCTCTGTCTCAGGACTTCTGACATGAGAACCAGTCACGGCAAATTTGACTCAGTGATTCAGTAAGTGTGGTTGATGGATACAAGTGCAATATAAAGTGCTACCACAAGGTGGCAGCAGCATCTTCAGGCTGTGTACGCATAGCCTAGTGGGTGCTTTTTCTTAAACTGCAGAATGGTTTTCTCCCGGCTTGTTCTAAAACAAGTTGCACTTTGAGGACCTAAGGAGATTCACGATACACATCACAAAGGGTTCTTAATGTTTCTCCTTTCTTAAATAGTCTTGGGAAATATGAGACAATGCACTAGCCAGTTCCTTTTCCATTTTTCCCCTAACAGCCTGTATTTTAAATCCAACTCTTGTGGAGTCAGTGGTTTTGCAATAGGATTAAGGGGACGAGAGAAGGTGACCGGATGTTCTAATTGAGGCAGACAGACTTGGTTCTGGCAACGAGCAGGTGCTTTGGAAGAAGTCCCAGGCAGGCTCTGCTGTGCCCCTTATCTGAGCTAAGCTGATGAGCTGGCCCCCTTCCAGAAGAGGGTGGCCAGAGCAGAGAGGGCTCTGGAAACCAGGCTTGACAGGGACATGTGGAAGGGAAGGGACACATTTTCTGAGGAAGAGATGATGTGAGCGCTGCAGTTAAATATTTGAAGGACTGTCATGGAGAAGAGAGGTGGTTGAATCAGATTGGTTAAATGCTAGTTATGGAAGGGACCTTAGACATCCCACCAGACACACTCCTCAGTTTACAAAAGGGGAAAGTAAGGCTTGCAGAGTTGTTCAGTGGCACACAGTTGGCTGGTAACAGATCTGTAAAGGATACAGATCTTTGACTATACCCAAACACAGTCACCAATTAGTCTGCAAACTGTACTAGGGTCTGGGGAGGGGAGTGGAGCGCGGCAGTGGCGGCCTCTGTTTAGTGGTGAAGCAGAAACTGGATGTCCATAGAGAGAATTCCTGAATTGCACGGAGGGCTGGCCGCAGCCCAATCGCTAGACAATCCCTGCGTTTACTTCTAAGATGCTCTGCCTCTGTGTGATTGCCAGTGGACTTTCAATAACTGGCATGTAATTCATGGTAGTGGAAGGTCTGTGGTAGTTGGATGTGTGCATGTTGGAAAGGCAGGCCCTGGGAAAGGTCTAGCTTTTAGGAGAGGTTGCTTTTATGTGGTGGCATGATAGGAGGCTAGTAAGGTCTGTAGCCTGAATTTCCCTAGTGTTCCTGTAGAGTCCCCAGGCTCTGTCCCAGGAAACATGGAGAGAGGAGGAAGGGCCATTGCAGGCTTCTCATAGGCAGCAGCCAGGCCCTCGGGGAGGGGCTGGAGTTACTTGCGATCTAAACTTGGAGCTCCCACTGCCAGCTTTGCACGACTCCACTCGTATGTCTTGCCCCTGAAAAATCCTTTTTAATAGATATATGATGTAAGTATTACTGCCTTTCCACGCATTGATGTATTGCCTTAGTCAAGGTGGCTGCATGACACCGGCCTGTGGTTTCATCTGCACATCAGTGGCTTTGACTGTCATTAGGATGATGAAGGAATGGGTGCAGACCATTCTTGAGACATGAAACACGCAATAATTAAGCACCTAATGACTGTTTCCTTAAGTTTTGTAGGAGTGACAGTGGTGCACAAAGGAGAATGAGGTCCTTCTACTGCATTCAACCAGAGCATGGACTGGTCATGCTGGGAGAAGTGAGGGCAGTTATGCTTTTCACATGTCACATGTAGCAGGGGTACCAGAATTTTTATTAAATTTACTTGCCTAGCATGAGGTTAAAGATGTTACTTATGTTGAAAAAGTAAGTAGATTAGAAAAATAAGAGCTGTTGTTATGGGCTAAGCGTGTGCATAGGCTTGTGCTAAGTGCTTTGAATGGAGCTCCTTATGTAATCTTCACAGCCACCCTGTGAGCTGACTTCCATTTCACAGGAAACCAAACGCAGCAAAGCAAAGTTGCATAACTTGCCCAAATTCTCCCAGTTAAAGGCGTGGACCTGTCTGAATCCAGACGAATCCAGATCTGCAGGGCCTTAGTAAATCTTTGTTGAATGATGAATGACTAAATAGCACATAGTAAATGCTGATACTGGAAAAATCGTAAGTTGGTATGTGGATGCCTGAGACTTAGGAAACCCTGACCTAGTTTAATGGCTTCAAAGTGTTTTCTCAGGAACAACCCTGCCGTGCAAGCCACAGAGGAGCTTCTCAGGCTGCTGTGAATGTGGTGAAGGTCCAGAGGCAGCCCATCCTTCCAGCTTCCGCCCGGGCAGCTCTTTTTTATCTATTACTGCTTCTCCTCCCACTTCAATTTTTTTTAGAGAGTCTTTACTGCAGCTGCAATTTAAAACAAACAAAAAAATCAAAGCAACCCCCCCACCACGCCAAACCCCACCATAAAACAAAACCAATCTGCCAGTGATCTAGTGCAGTAACATCATTATGCAGAGGAAGGACGTGAGGCCCAGGGAAGTGATAGGACAAAGTCGGAACTTGAATCCAGTCTCAAAAAAGACCCTTTGCCCAGTGCTTATTTCATCGCACCAAGAAAATTATTTGAATCTCGTTGGAGAACAGCATTGTGGTGCTGATTGCTGTATGTAGTATGTAGAGAAATAGCTGTAATGACCAACCCTGGCCTACATAAAGATGGATTTTTAAATGCTGGGTGGGTGTTCTCCTTTACAAGAATGTCTCAGGTAAGGCCAGTTCTCATCATTGATTTCTACTTAAAGGACAGGTAATTTGGAAGCACACATTTAGGAGGAGTAGGTAGAATTAGCCAATCTGATTAAAAAACAGCTTAAGGACACAATGTAAAAAACAAATATTGCTCAAATGAATGTGACTTAATACATCATAGTTCAAACCCTAAATAAAAGATAACATTATAGTGTAATACATGATAATAATATGTCATTGTGCAAGATTAACTATTGACAAAAAGTGACAAGTTCAGCACAAGGAAGTAATTCTAACTAGGGTGGCTTCAAGGCTTTGGGATCAGCAACCTTGGGGGGCCCTGAGGGATCAGCAAGCATTTCATGATGCATGAGGGAGAAGACTTTGGGGAAGGCAGGGAAGGATTTTGGGAAAACATCTGTGATTAGAGCTGGGGCATCGGACTGGTGGGGGTGAACGTGGAAACATCCTTGAGGTAGAATGTCTGTTATGCCATTCACTTGAAATAAATGATGGGAAACAATTTTTGAACATTAAAATAGAAATCAAACAGACATGTACTACTAACAAATAATACAAAATACAGTTTCCTTCAACTTTATGCAACGTAAAATTTTTATTATTCTCCAAGATCTATAGTTGTTTTAAAAACACATATTGGTCCAATTTTCTGGAATAAATGCAAATTGTTAAATAGAAATAAATTTTAAAAATCAAAAAAATATTTTAAATGAACTGGGGATTTTGTTATTTAAGGTAATCATATTGTGAATTTTTGTTGTTAAGTAATAAATCACTGTGTATGTGTGTATATATGTTTTGGAGGAAACAGGATTTGACATATTAATTCTAAAAATAGAATATTTTGGGAGATTACTAAGCAAATTCAGAAAAGATGTAATGAGGGAAAAATATTGAATATTAAAATAAATTTTAAAAAATCCTACAAATGGTGAAACTAGTATAATAATAGACATAAATTAATAGAAATAGACATAGAGAGCATTTCATAAGGGGACTTTATATATGATAGAAAGGGTGTATTAGTTTTCTTAGACTGCTGTACAAACATACCACAAACTGGGTGGCTTAAAACAACAGAAATTAGCTTTCTCACCATTCTGGAGGCTTGAAGTCTGAAATCCAGAAGCAAGCAGGGCCGACTCCCTGTGAAGATTCTAGGGAAGAATCCTTCCTGCCTCCTCTGAGCTTCTCCTGGCGCCAGCAATCCTTGATGTTCTAGGCCCGTGGCAGCGTGATTCCAATCTCTGCCGTCTGCCGCACCTAGCCATCTCCGCCCTGTGTGTGCCCACCCTACTCCGGATAGCCTCATCCTAACTAATTCCATCAGCAGTGATCCTACTTCCAAATCAGATCGTTCTGAGGTACGAGGGGTGAGGACCTCAATGTCTTTCTGGGAGTCACATTTCAACCCATAACATATGTTCTCATTTAGTAGGGAAAGAAATGACCGCTCAATAAATGACAATTTGTTAACTCTGGACAAAAATGAAGTTAGATGGATACCTTGCACTTTAGCCCCAAATAAATTTCACATGGATTAAAACTAAACATAAAATATGAAAACGTAAAAGAGAAAAAGAGAAGAAAAATATAGATGCATATTTGCTGCATCACAGGTCAAAGACTTTCTAAAAGCAGTAGTGCTTGTAAACATTTAGATGTGTTGCAAACCCTCAAGAATAAAAATGACAAAATAAATGGTAAACTAGCGAGAACAATTTGTGATAAATATGACACACATATGTTGGATTCTTTAACCTCAAAAAGAAAAAAACTCTAAAACATTGATAGAAAAACTTGGGATAAAATGATGAACAGTTAATATATTCAATCAGACATTTGCCCAGCTGTCCATTGAAACCGTTTTTGTCAAGGTGACTAGTGCTCCACCTGGCTAAGCCAGTTCCCAGCCTTCGCCTCCTATCCACAGCATCTGATGACGATCCCTTGCTCTTCTTTGGAATACTCTCTTGCTACCGAAACTCAGTGCCCTCTTGATGCGTATCCAGGCCACCCCGCTCCCCTCATCCTTCTCAAGTCTTCCTATCTCTGTAAATGGCGCCATCTTTTTTGTTTTCTCTGGCCGAACACCTGGTGTTCATTGTTTATTTTTCTACATTCTGCACAGCACAGCCAATCCTTTGGCAAGTTCTTGGCCTTCAAAATATATCCTGAAGCCAACTTCCTGTCCACACTTGCCCCACATTACCCCAGCTCACATTCATCTTCTCTCCTGGGCTGCCTCAACAGCCTCCTGTCTTGTGCCCCGGGCTTCCAGCCTGTTCCTTACAGGTAAGTCTTCACAAAGCAGCCGTAAGTTGTTACTCTCCAGTAGGGAGTGCAAACACAAGGTACAAAATTGTTGAAAATTTAAAATACAGAAATTTAAAATTAAAAGGTAAAAAAATTAAAAAGTTCTTCAAAGAGAAGAAAGAATGTGAAACTGAGTCTTTCCCTCTCCTGTCCCCCAGCCCACCCAGTTCCTTTCTCCAGAAGCAGTTTCCTGCTTTTTCTTCCAGAATCATCCTCTGACTTCACCAACATACTCATTTCTTTCCATACAGATTGCAGAATACCACATACTTCACAAAAAGCACTACTTTGTATTTTGCTTTTTAAAAAGGATCTTTTAAAAATTAAAATCAGATCAGATTACTCTTGCTTAAAACTCTCTATTGCTTAAAGCTTTCTAAAGGGTTTCCCATTATACTTAGAACAAAACCCACTTGGTCTTCAAGGCCCTGCGTGCTCTGGCCCTGGCCCACCCCATCTCTTAGCATCACGGACTTCATCCTAGCTCATTAACCTTCTTGTTGCTCTTCAGCGGCAGTCGGCTGGCTCTCCTCTGGGCTTCCATGCACACTGTCTTCCTGTATTTGGAATGTTTGCTCTGCATTTTTCTCTCCTTCATTTCATCAAAGTTTCTGTTCAGATGTGACCTTATCAGAGAGCGTCCCTGATCCCCTGTTTAAAACAGCCTCCTTACTCATACCCCTTGGCACCCTTCTTTCTTATCCTGCTTTATTTTTCTTCATAGCTCTTCTTTCCTGAGATTATGTTTACTCATTTACTGTTTGTTTCTGCACCTAGAATGAAAAGCTCTGTGAGAGAAGTACTTTGCTCACAACTGTATGTCCAGGGCCCACAGCTATGCCTGGCATATATATATATATATATGCTGGAATTCAATAAATATGGACTGAAATAAATAATGAAAATAAGATTTTTTTGCATATGAAATTGGAAAAATATAAAGTTTTTGGATAATACTCAATGCTGATAGGGGCTGCTGGTAGGATTATGAATGGACATGATGATTTTTTTCCCCTGGAAAAGAATTTGAAAATATGTATTAAGAACATTAATAGGTATGTATCCTTTGGGCACATGTCCAGGAATCTATCACAAAGAAACATTTGAGTGAGACGGGAAGAAAACTTGTACAGAAGGATGATCATTGCCTTTTAGGGATTGATTAAATATATTATTATAAAAAGGTAAAATTTAACATGTAATTTATTAAAATCTTAATGTAAAGAAAATATAATGACATGGGAAAATCAAATGCTGAAATACTAGATTAAAAAAAGAAATATAATGACATAAAAAGTTTGGTATCAGAGTATTCATTAATAGGGGACTAATTAAATATCATGCAATATTTAGTCAATGGAATAGCCTTTAAAATACTGAAAGATCTTTATGTAGTGTATAGAAGGATTTCTCAAGTATATTATATTGATAACAATAAGATAAAATGGTACAGAACAGTGTATATGGTATGCATATATTGTATGAAAATTATGTACATATATTCATATTTCATTATTCTCTGAAAGCATTTAAAATATATTACTTTTAGTTTTAAAATATATTAATTTTAGTTTTAAAATAAATAAAAAAAACTAGCAACTAGTTGCCTCTGGCAAATGCAGTCAGGTAGCTAGAGTCCTATTTCATTGTAGAGCTTTTTGAATTTAATGTCACTTGTGTATTTTACCTATTCAAAAATAAATTTAAATACAAAACCTACTTATACAAAAGGATGGCAGTAAAAAGTTCTGCATGTCTTCATATATGAATAGAAAAGACCTGAGAGAAAATACCTCAAAATGTTAACAGGAGTTTTCCCTTGGGGCTGGAGTTACTGTTGAATTCTATTTTCTTCCTTATATTTTCTGTATTTACCTAATATACAGGCATTATTTTTATACATAAAAAATGTACTTTCAAAAGTCTACTTGTTTCAATTTTTTTTTGTGCAAGTATGGGTTAAAACTGAAATTTTTTAGTATAGAATTACACTAATTCAGTATAGTATGCTGATTTAGTTCTTCCAACTGATGTAATAAAGTCCAAAAACACACAAAGTTAGCCCAAGATACTTTTTATATGTTAGATATATATGTGCATAATACTTTTTTTGCTTTTATTGTGTAGCTGAATTTCCTTTTCACAGCAGAGAGGACACACCAGCATTAGTTTTGATGTCTCAAATGCATCCTTTAAGTGGGTCAGCTCCCCAGGCAAGGTCCCCTTTGAGAATGTTGGACCACAACAGTATACCGACAGGGACCCCAGGCAAAATTGTGAGCTGGGTAGACCTTCAGTGACTTCCCCCAAAGTGGGGTGCCCTTCCTATACTCCAAAGTGCTTTTCTTTCCCAGTCTTCAGTCAAATTCCAGTTCTTGCCTTTCCAGAGCCTTTGGCTGGAGAATAAGAGCAAAACAATCAGTCACCTAATCACTGGTGCAGGTCACTGATAGTATCTTAAATGGATGCCTAAGGAAGTTCTGGCTGTGTGAGCTGTGTGTGTAGGGTGTGTAGAGGGTGGGGAGAAGAATTTTGTTTTCTTTTTGAGGTGAAAAAAATTTTCTGGCCATCTTTATTGCTGTGGTTTCAATTTCTCTTCACTTCTTAGACAAGGTAAATATCATCCAAGTTCATAGTGCCTGATACTTGAGAAGTGACCAAAGGTAGTCAGTGAACTATGTATGAACTATGTATTACAGGGCAGCAAGTTTGGAATAAATTTACCCCATACCCTCTGACATGTAAATTAAAATACACTCTGAACTTTGGTGTGTTTAAACTGCAGTTTCTGATTTGTGACTGAATTGGGGAAGATCTTACTTTTAGTTACAAATCTTCTACTTAATATTTGTCTCATGACTTTCACAGTTCTTGCCTTTATGGAATATAATTAACATAGACAAATGGCATCACTACACTAGTTGACCATGTATCAATTGTTAAATATAAATTGGTGAACAAGGGCTCATTTTTCCCAACTGGTCCTATTGGCATAGCAAGAGAGAAGTTGAATTCCCAAAAGCCTGTAATCTGAAATTAAGTAAATATTCTGGGGTGGAAAAGCTGACACAGAAGGACCCAGGAGCAAGCCAAGCACACCCCGGACTGATAGGGTGTGTGGACGTGTTAAGCTGCTGTAAAGTCCCTGAAGTGGTAGGACTCTGGGAGTCTGAGAACAAAAGAATTAGCGTGTACTGAGTCAAAATGTATTGGCCTTCTCTCCTGGGAGTGGGTATTTTAAGCCAACACCCCTTCCCATCCCAGTACGTACACAGCTCACACTCCTTATCAGTATTTCTGGAGACGTGACCTTGTTGGTTGACCAGCTTCTAGGAAAGAAGAAATTGTTCATCCAGCCCTGGCATTCGTTCATCTGGAAAATAAGTGAATGGCACAAAACTACCTAAAAATCCTCTCTAGATTCCTGAACAGGGTTGGGGATGTTTTTCTCCTGGATCAGACAGCCTAGCTGTTGATGCCCTCTCCCGTGTGCATGCCTGGTGAGTTAACCTGGCCTTGGAGTTCTGGAGTATTTTCCTGTCTCTCGTTTCTCTCCCATTTTGCTTGGTCTTCTCTTCCTTCTTTCTCAAAAGCTAAATAAATTCCTCAGCTTACCTCCTGAATCTCAATGTAGCTTCTTCTCATGACCTTGATCTCATGATCTGAAGCATGATTTTGAGGTCTCATCCTCAATCCCAATCAGCTTATGAAAATGTGTCTTCCAACAAGTACAGAGCACTTCATCGGAGGAATCCTGGTGAGTAAAAGTTTCTCTGCCTCATTCCATTTATAGCAATGATGTATGGCACTTGCAAAGTGTAGTATTGAAACAAAAAATCTTTACACTTTATAAAAACACCATTTATGATGCAATCATTATGTGCTGAGCACTCTGCAAATGATTTCCTGGCCTTATCTTACTAACTTTTCTGGCAATGTGTTTTACTCCCTATTATTCATGTGAAGAAAATGAGTCACAAAAAGGTGAAGCAATCTGTTGGAAACCACACAGCTAGTAAGACGTGAAGCTGCTATTTGAATCTAGTTGTTTGGTTTTTACCGTGACAAACACACGAATAGAAGAAGGCATAAAGGACATTATGTTTTGAACCAGATGCTGAAGCAGGTGGAGAAACAGGAGAGAGTATTAATAAGTAATATAATATATTTGGGATGGGTACTCAGACAGTTTCATTAATTTATTAATTCTTCTCTATTTTAGAACTGCTTTTTATTTGGTTGGTGAGCTAGTTTCAGGCATAAAACAGCTCTGACTTCAGGTTTGAGTTTGTCTTCTTACCTGTTAAGAACCCAAGAAAGAATCTGGGGTGGGGGTGGGGGAAGTGGTTAGCGGTGGCTCCTGACACACTGTGTCCAGCTTGTCTCCCAGCTTGTAGATGAGAAGTGGTCCTTGAGTCTCAGGGCCCAATAGGGCCAGGGCTCTACTTAGACATTCTTGTCTCTCCTTGAACCCTGTTACGTCTTCTTGCTCCTTCTGACCTCCGTTGCCTCTAGAGAAGAATGCCGCTCACTCACCCATTCTAGAGGTGGGTGGGCTGGAAATGACCTTGGGTACTGCATGGCTGGTCTCTGCAACACAATCAGAGCACATGTGCTGTTAGTGGATTTTCTGGGCAGTTCTTATGCCCCCTCTCTAGAACTACACTCCCTAATGCCCTCTATTCCTACCTTGGCTTTTATAGAGGCCGTGCTCAGATTGGTGTAGGGTGGTGAGAACCAGGAGATAGCAACCGTTTTTCTGCTTCTTGCCATTGCTTTTGCTTCTCTGTTCTCTGGGATATCAACAATTAGTATGCACTAATATTATAAACATTTTTTTTTGGCCAGTGGGAGAACAGTGACTATTGCTTGGAAGGGATCACAAAATGTTATAATATATTTTTTCTTTAAAATAACACATCCATACAATTATTACTACCATTTCACCAATTCTTCTTAAATATGAAATGGCTTCCAAATCTGTTATTTAACTTAATCCTCACACCAGTTGTTAGGAAAGTAGGTTAGATATGATTATCTTTTCAAATCACAAGTTTATATATTTTCCTTATTACTATTTTGTATTTTCTGGCCTG